TGCTTTCCAATGACAAATACGTGCTGGAGATGACAGCTACCGCGTGGATCCAGCCCTAATCGCTGGGATAAGCGAGCGCCCAGCTGTCACTGCTGGGACATTTGGGGGTCCCCTTCCCTGCTCTCCCCCGGGTCACCTGGTGCTTCCCCACCGCTGTCCCACCCCAGACCCCTCCTGGAAGCAGGGGGGCTCCCCACCTCTCAGGGCACCAGCACAGGGCAGGCCCCCGGCCTGCGGTGGTGCCGGTCAAAATGGCTTAGCCCAGGCATTTTAATGGGTGCCAGGGAGGCGAGGGCTCAGCGCTGATCACCGCTGTCCTCATAAATCAGCCCTGGCCTCTCCTGTTATTGCCCAGCACATCGCCAGCCACTCGAGGACACCCAGGCTCTGTGATGTCTCCTCGTTAGGATGACGTGGGTGTGGGGCCGTGGAGCTTTAATTAATTAGAGGGGGAGTTGTGATGGCGAGGGTGGGAGCGTTGCTGTTGCACAAGGGTGCTGGAGGGTGACAAATCATTTCCCTGACTGATGTCCCCATGCAGGGTGCTGGCTGCACGGCACTGGTGGTGGCCGTGGTGGCCAGGAAGCTAGAGCTCACCAAAGCCGAGAAACACGTCCACAACTTCATGATGGACACGCAGCTGACGAAGCGGGTAAGGTGCCGTGGGGGGCGGCGGGGCTGTACCATGCAGCGGGAGCTGGGGATGCTGGCTACCGTGGCAGGAGGAAGGCGTTGGCACCCCTGGGTGCCCGTCCCATGGGTACCGCAGCGGGAGGAAGGTGTCTGAGTGCCTTGGATGCAGCACGTGCAAGCGTTGCAGTGAAAGCAAACAGCACCAGCTCTGCATCCGGGGTTTAGGTGATGCAGGATGCTCGGCTGCACCCCTGAGAAGAAAACCCCCTTTTTTTTTTTTTCTCCTGGGAGGATACAGACTCTCTCCTCCTGCAGAGCATGATCTCATGTAGCTCGGTGTCAGGAAGACAACCGGATTTTGGTGATTCAGTGCCTCGCCTGCCAAAGATGAGAACTGTGCTGAGGCTCCTGCGGTTTCCATCCCCGAGGAGGGACCCAGAGGCTGTGGCTGTGCAGGGTGTGCCATGGGGTCGCTGGTCACACCGGGGTCCGGCATCACCTCCCTGGCAGCATGCGGGGGCTGCAGGACATCTCTGGTCTCAGCAGCCACGTCATGGCAAAGCGTCGGCAACCTGACAGCACCTTGTGATGTCATGGGTTCCGCATGCCGGCGGCAGGAGTGATATTTTATATATGGGATGGTGGCAAAGCAAGCATCAGTGCAGCCCTTGGAAGGGCGACCTCCCAGTGCCAGGAAGTGGCCAGGGAACCACGCTTCGTGCCGGAGAGCAGAGCCCCAGGCAGAGCCACGTGCTGGCGAGAGCCCTGATGCCCCGGGGATAGCTGGGGGCCTCAGCGTGGCCAGGCTGGGAAAGCAAACAGCTGGTCGGCCCCACTCCCCCAGCCGTGGATATGGATCTGCAGGCTCCGGGCCAGGCAGGTGGCAGCCAGTTCATCTAGGAGGGAGCAGCAGAGCCACGGTTTAGCCGGGGAGCCGGTGGAAGCTGCGTCCTCATGCCTGCAGCCCAGCTGCGACCTGCCAAGAGTGGCAGATGAATGTGGGAATCAAGAAAAAGTTTGGGTTTTTTTTTCTTTTTCTCAAGGCTTAGGGTAGAGATTCATGCACGGGTGAGGAGCCCGGTGGCAGGGCGTTGGTACAGTGTAGGATGGGGATGCACCGGGGGGCTCAGACCTGTGGTGCAGGCAGCTCTGTCTGCCCTTGCTCCTGTCCGAGCTGCCCACGATGCCTTGCAAAGGCGCAGGAGACCATGCTGGAGCCTCGCCTTGCGCCTCGCTCCAGTTGGGGTGAGTCAAGGGCTCTTGCAGCACCGGCTCGTGAACCAGCGGCTCTCGGCAGAGCCAGACCGGTGTCTCCATGAAATACCGCATCTTGTGTGCCAGCATAGCCAGGGCCAGTGACCCGCAGCCAACTCTCCTCTTGCAGATCAAGAACGCGGCGGCCAATGTCCTGCGGGAAACGTGGCTCATCTATAAGCACACCAAGCTGCTGAAGAAGATCGACCATGCCAAAGTCAGGAAGCATCAGAGGAAGTTCCTACAAGCCATTCACCAGTAAGGGGCTGGGTGGAAGGGCTGGGGGGGTGCTGAGCCCCAGTCCCAGGGGGAGTCATGGTCCAGCCCCTGGCAGAGGCATGGGGAGAAATTCCCATTGTCCTGGATGCAGTTTGCTGTCGGGGAGGGGGCATAGCCATGTTGCTCTTTCCTTCTCCCCAGGTTGCGGAGTGTGAAGATGGAGCAGAGGAAGTTAAGCGACCAAGCCAACACCCTGGTCGACCTCTCGAAGGCAAGTCCCCGCAGCGACCTCTCGGCTCGGCCAGGTTGCCCAAGTGTTTCTCTTCACTTGGAAAAGCTAAAGCTGACCTGGCTGACCGCAAAATGCTCTAGCTTGATAGATGTCAGCTGGGAATAGCTGCTGTGGGATGGCTGCCCTTGCAAGGCAGGAGGAGAAACACAGACACAAGCCAGGGACTGGTGGGGGGGTCACCCTGCTTCCAAGAAAGGTTTTTTGATCCCTGCACCCCCTTAAGCAGCC